GGGGGGGGGAAGGAAACGTACTCTTTTAACTCGAGGAAATCGATTTACAAACGGAATCTAATAACCAGTCGTTCGAGACCCCCGCACTCCTCGATCATGCGAGCTCCTTGCGTGAGATTTTGTACGACTTTATCGAGTATCATTGAAACTGAGACGCAGAGGGAAATGAGCACACTGCAAGTATTGGAAAGTTCTCTTTAATTCGTGGTAGTGATTGATGGCAGCATCCATCACCTCGGCGTAGGATCGATCAGTTATGAATTTAAATTACGGTAGCCACGTTTTGTAGAACAGTACTCGTAAATTGTGATATTAAAGTCTCTTCTTTAAAAAAGTACGATCGTGTCTTTTCGCGTGTGTAATAATTCCTAGAATAAGCGAATGTAAAGATACGTTTGAGCATAATAACACGCGCAATAACAATTTTCACGAGGGTGAGCCATCTTTGCTTTGTTGAATTCTTTTTTTCTTTTTTTTTCTTTCTTTCTTTCTCTTTAATTATCTCAGAGCGTATTTCTGAGAAGCGCGGGGAAAATAAATCTAGCGCGCAGACAGCGCTGATACAGTTCTCTCGCACGTGCAAAGTGTTCCTTGTCTCACAGGAAAATTCAGAGGGACGAGATAAGTTAGCTTTAACTAATGTGATCATTTTCAAAAGCACACGCCGTTCGAAAGATGACACACCGTTTAAGCAAATGGCGCGTGAATGCATCCTGTAAATAAGGTGCGGATACTGTGTATCAAACATATCGATCCTCGTCTGTTCAAATAACCCCTACTCCCCTGCGACCTTGAATCACTTGAAGGTCATGACACACGGAATTCTTCGAGTTCCTCTCTATTCTGTAAAATAATGACTTTCTGACATACAATCTGTAGAGACTAAATGAGGCAACGAAGTAATAACAAGTTCCAAATGTCTAGAAAAAGACACGAAGAAAGTGTGCCATTGTTTTTCATCAATTATCATGACACTTGGTCTCATAATAATTGCTCGAGTATTGATTCGTAAATTCAAGTACGCTGTCTTGTGTAACGACACGAGCGTAACATCAATTTGAAGAAAGGGAACAATCTTTTCCTTCTACTTCTCTTCGAGGGAACGATGAAGTGTAGCGAAGTGTAGTCGCGACGTAAAAGAGAGTAAAGAAACAATCTGATCTATAGTTTGCCAAGGTTACAACGAACGTTTCAATTTCGTTTCTATTCTCGGAAATGGGATGAATTCGAGCAACGAGTTTACGTCCCGTCACTGAAATAATCGAGACTCTCCTCGGCGCGGTTCCCCCATTTCCGCTGTCGAACTTCCTCGTATCTTTATATCCCGCGAACAGGAAATATCCTGATGAACGTCGGAAGTTGTTCGTCGAAAAGTGAAAACAACGCAACGCGGTGTCGGGGAGGCCAAGGTGGGAGAAATGGAGGTCAGAGTCGGAGAACGGGACGCGGCCCCTTTTTAAATCTGCCGCGTCAACGCGTCATCAATGTATTGCAAATGCATCACGCGAGATGTAGAGATATTGCATCGCATTCCGAATATATATATGTGTGTGTGTGCGCGTGTGCGCTGTCGTTTTCATTACATCGTCGATAATATCGCCGTTAATAATTCGCTAGGTATAAAATGACGTGTCAAGGTACGTGTGCTATTTACGAGCTTCCGCAAGGATATATACATATATTTAAAGTTAAAGTGTGTGCCACGAACGAATCTACGCAATCCCATTCTAATCTGCTGATTCAATTCTTCCAGGCTGAATATTTGTTCAAGAAGAATCCAGAGGGTAAAATGTTCGAGCCGGAATACACGAGGACGATGAGCTCGATCCTGGACATGATCGACAAGTACGGCAGCTTCGTTCTACCGGATGAAGAACGGCAATTCAGCGGCAAGATGTTGGAACTTTCGAAACGGGAGGGCAAACAATCATCGGAGAGCAATGGAACGACGGACAGCAGCGAGTTGGACGCGAGTTGCAGTCGGAAGACTTGTGTCACGCCGTGCTTCGCTCACGACGACGTGGACGCTTGCGAGGGAGGGGAGGAAACCGAGCGGACGGTATCCGAGGAAACCTACGGGAAACAGGATTGACGAAGGTCCTTCCCGAAGGACTGCGACGTCGGGCTGGCAATTAATTAACTTGCACGTGTGGCATCGCAATGACAACATTCGGCCTCCGTCATCACCCGGAATTCCTGTAATCTGTTCAGCTCGACACGCTAATACCCTACGGGTACCCTCTTCCATAGCTTCAAGAAGACATACACAGCCAATTGTATGTACTTCAACGACGATGAAAGATTTAAAGAAATATCACCCTGCTTTGCGAATCGCCAGCTCGTTTTCTTCGTAAGTGATTTGACATCGCGTTATCCTGTTCTTCGTTTTTTTTTTTTTTTTTTAAGATTGAAGTCTTCCATTTGCAATGATCTCTTGAAATTTATTGCAACTTTTCAATTGGATCTTTTGCAACAGTTTAATTTTTATTGGATATTAGCGTTAAGTGACAGAAATTCAAGAAATCTCAGCATTTCGTCATTTCATTCGAAATCCAATAGAATCGATAGAGAAATATCTGCAAGCTTCAAAGGGTCGTTGTTGAATTTTTCCAACATCTTTTCATACGTTTTACGTGAATTTTTACAAAAAAAAAATCTTCGGACAGAACGAGCTCAAAATAAAAGTTTCGCATTTCAAAATGAGACCATTAAAATCGATCGATTATATAATCTTATTTTACGAAGTTGTACATCAGTTTAAATTATGCACAATTTTGCATTATCACTGATACAGTTATGCTCTTCGCTGTACACACGTAGAATGATGGACAGATTGCTGATTCTGGCGTGTTCGCGGAAACTTTAAATATTTAAAAAATACGCTTGATGTGCTAAATTCAGAGGATTCCTTGATATTTAGACGGCGAGACGGATTTTTCTTCTGGTTTCCATTTCTATAACTGCATTCGAAAAGGAATAAATTTGCATGAATATTTGCAGTCTGATGATAACCGTGAATATTTATTCGAAATGTATGTAAAACACGCCAGAGATCAAACTGCACGTTTATTTCGATGTAAACAATAATAATTCCCAGTGCAACAAATTCCTCTTATTACACTGATTTCATTTCGACGCAAATATCTCAATTGTTCAAATACGAAGAAAATTTGTAAATCGTCGAATCTGTGAGATTTTTATCGGCCCGGCGTGCGTGAATATCTTAAGAACGAAATCTACAAAAAGAATTGCTATTGCAGTTACCCGTTTGAGTCTTTTCGGCGAAAATTAAATCGCGCAATTTAATGAAACGCACTGAAATAAGTGAGATACACTTTTCCTTGGCAATCTTTTTACATGATAAATATGTAACGATATTCTCGCAGAAAAAAGCTTATCGCTGAATAGTATCTTTTTTGAACGTTGCGCTCAGGTATAATATAGTGGGACAGGGAAGCTATTTTATTCCAACAGGATTATTTTAAAGACAAAATCTGCATAATTTAAAACGAGAGACTTAAAAGAAACGAAGCAAACTGAATTACTTAAAGCTGCCTGTGACCACTATAATGGCAAAAAACAGTTTTAACGTGGCACGCTTGTTCTCGTGCTTTGTGAAAAAAAAGGCTTTTAAATCATTCGTTGCACACCGATTGCTTAATTTCGCTACACCTACGCAGAAATGACGAGAAAAAAAATGGGGAGGAAAAAT